GGGGGGGGCAGAGGGCTGAACGTTAAACACGGGTCGTTCTCGTTGCAGTCCGAGGACGACACCCCAGCGTGCGAGTCGCTGCACTGGGCCGACGGCTTCCTGCTCGTGTACTCCATCACGGACCGGCGCTCCTTCAACTACGTGCGCCGCGTCAAGCAGCTGCTGCCGGGAGACACGCCGCTCGCCCTGGTCGGCAACAAGGGCGACATGGTGCACCTCCGGCAGGTCAGCACCGAGGAGGGTGAGTCTAACCACGGACACGGTCATTTCTCCAATCGTCTTTTCCTTTTTCTTGACCGTCCACGGGGACGACGACGACGACGGCGACTTGCGCAGGTGAGATCCTGGCCAAGGACTACGACTGCTGGTTCTCCGAGCTGACCGCGGCCGAGCAGGTGTCCCAGGTGGCCGAGGCGTTCCACGAGCTGTGCCGGGAGGTGCTGAACGCGCGCCGCATGAAGAACAAGCAGTCCCTGCTGGACCGCATGCTCGGCACCAAGTCGCCCAACATCCGCTCCTACGCGCGCGGCAAGAGCGACTCGGCGCTCCCGCGCGAGTAGCGCAGCGCTGCTGCCTGGGGAAGTCCGTACGCCGAGACCTCCACGACAGTGCACCTTATGACGTCCACGGAGTGGATTATCCAGTTCGGCGACCCCCGCGCACACTGCCGACGCCCGCTGATGGGCACGCGGGCCTGACTGCTGCTGCACTGAACTATTATTTGTGAAAAACTTCAGTGGGCCGTGTACATAAATTTACTGAATGCTTTTGATACCAATTAAGTTACGTACGTGTTCTGTTGTTCTCATATCTTTTTACGTGTAAGCAGGGGTGAGTTTGTGTGTGTATGTGTGGAAAATAAACGTGTGATATGCAAACGTAAATCCTCTATGAGATTTGAAGTGAAGTAAAAGAAAACAATTTCGTTTTTAAAAAAAATAGTATCAAGTGTTTGACGTATTTGAAGCACCGCGCGATGCGGTATTGTGAGGCAGCTCGATGTCCTCCAGGGGACCCCTCTTCTTCATCGTCTTGCCGATGGCCTCCGCCTCCTCGACCGTGTCCGGCAGCGCCACGTTGGCCGTCTCGGGGACGGTGAGCGCAAGCAGCCCTGTGAGGAAGCACACGGCGCCGAACACGAGCAGCGGCAGGGACTCCATGTAGGCGCGCAGCAGGGGCATCTGCGGCCCGAGGGCCGAGCCGAGGCGGCCGCAGGTGGCGCTCAGGGCGTACATCGTGTGGCGCAGGCGGGTGGGGAACAGCTCCGCGGCCAGCACGTAGGTGGCGGTGTAGGCCACGGTCACGAACAGCTTGGCGAGCAAGACAGCCGCGGTACGGGCCCAGGCCGCTTCTGTAACCAAGGCGATTCATTGGACGTAAGAACGACGTCGACGTCGATAGATTTGTTTTCAATGGAAGAACGGCGACGGACCAAAGGCAATGGGTTCTTCACTCAAAAAAAAATCAGGGGGAAAAACAAATGAAGGAAAAAAGTAATTAAAGCAATCGACATAGAATTCAAAAAAGTAAAAAATCAGAAAAAAACAGAAAAATCAAGAGAAATGAAAAATCTGTGTACCGTGTGTAACTGTGAATACGTTGCAGTGTTGCGGGATTGCATACTCAATATGGCTGCAGAGGGCCATGGCCCCTTACCGGGTGTAAAGAATAGGCAGACCCGCAACACTGCTGCGTATTCATAGTTACACCCGGTACGCTTCAATTTACAGTGACGGACGCCTACCGTGGGGGGCCGCTGGGAGGAAGTGGTAGGACACGCAGCATGCCGCGGCGGGCACGATGGAGTACATGAGGGTGGCCCGCCGGCCCGCCATCGCCATGGTCTTCCACGCGATGAGCGCGGCCGGCACCTCCACCAGCTCCACCAGCATGAAGTTGACGTACTGGTTGCCCGCCAGCGAGACGGAGTACACGGCCAGCCCGTCGTACACGAACATGATGGCGACCCTGCGGGGGCGGCGCAGAGAAATTGTTAGAGAATGGGACGTCTATCGTCGTGCCCGCCCGTAGACCGGACCTGCAGGGAAGCCTACCAGCAGAGGCAGCTGACGACGAGCCGCAGCACGAGGATGCGCGAGCGACAGAACTCCTTGACGTCCGCCGAAAAGCTGGACTGGGGGGAGGTATTCGCGGCCTAAACAAGAAAAGGTTTGTAAAAACAATCTTGAAATTTATACTCAAATGTGTCGCAGCCTTGCTCAGACAATATCGACAGAGGAATGTTCTGCACGCCCAACCTCTATATTGTAATCCTTACGAAATTTTGGATAGTGCGATGTAAAATGCATGCATCCCACAACATTATTCTTTTTTTAAAATTACATGATGTTGATACATTTTTTGTGTTAACGTATTAAGAAAGTCAGATGTCCAGGAACCCAAACGATTCCTAATTGGAGCGTCTCAATCTTAAAGTCAAGCCAAGCGTCAGACCTTCGGGTCTTTGCCGGAGTCGTCCACCGCCGCGGCCGCGGCCGCCGCCACCCGTGGAGGCGGAGTGAAGTCAGGGATGCCGTTCATTTTTGCAGCCTTGTTGATGATCTTGAAGGCCTCGGCTGAGCGCCCTTTTGACGCCAGCCAGCGAACCGACTCGGGAGCGAACCTAGAATAAAACACGTGGCAGATAAGATTACCGCCGAATGTCACACATCCCGAATTACACATTATGAGCCACTCGGTAAACTGTTGTGTGGTGGAAGCCGCCGGGCCCTTTGGCCGGGGCGGGCGTCACCAAGGACACCTGTCGCTCACCACAGGGCGGCCAGGCACAGCAGCGCGGAGCCGTAGATGGCCCTCAGCATCAGCCTCCAGTGCGGCAGCAGCCAGGCGACCACGCCCAGGAAGGCGAGCGAGAAGGCGAAGATGACGTGGGTGACGGCGGACCAGGCGCCGCGGGCCGGGGTGGGCATCAGCTCCATCCCTGCTCACAGACACGGCCGAGGGGTACTTTACTTCAAAGAAGTCAGTGTACACGCTGCTTCAAAACAATTTTTAAAAATCAAGGACAAATCACTGCAAAAATCAGAAAAAAACAGAGACAATCAGAAAAAAATGGAAAAATTAAAGAAAAACAGAAACATTTGTGGACGCTTGAATTTATTGTGAAGTACCCGGGACGGCCGACGGCCTATGCTGTGCCTACGTACCCATGATGAAGGCGGCGCCACCGATGCCGTCGTAAAACAGGGGGTCGAGGAACTCGAGGCTCACGAAGGTGGCGTAGTTGGGCGCGAAGGAGCGGCCGATGCCCAGGCAGCAGGACACGCCCAGCCCGACGAGGAGCGCGATCCGGCGCCCCAGCACGTCCGACACGTAGCCGAACAGCGGCAGCCCCAGCGCGCGGCCCAGGCTGTTGGCCGTGCCGACCATGGCGATCAGCCAGTCGTTGGAGCACGTCAGGTCCCACTGCAACATGGTCACACCACACATTTTCGTCGGGCACGTCGCGCGCAGACTCTGCCGCCCCGTCACAACTTTGGGAGCTAAAAACTCACAAAGGGGTGCCACACACAACCAGTCCCACCTCCGTCATGATCGACAGGTCCTTGTCCGGATACACCCACTGGTCGCAGCGCACGGTGACGTTGGCGCGCTCGCGGCCCCCGCACTGCACGTCCAGCATGAAGGGGCTGCAGGTGTCGGCCGGGAGAACAGTGCCATCCAGCCAGGAGGGGCGCATGTCCGTCAGGGAGGCGTTCGTCTCGCAGTCCGGCACCAGGCACCTGCACCACCAGAAGAAACCCCCCGAGCCACCGTCAGTCGACCCGATCAGTCCTGCTGATCGCCTATGTCATATAATGTTTCAATCGGTCCTCCCCCGTTTCTTAATTGCAAACAATCTTCTCAACGGAAACAGAAAAGGACCCATTACTGACAAAGACCGGAATAACGGTGTAGCAAACACTGGAAAAGTCCGTTCTTTGGGTGAAAATTTCGTCCGTTTTGCTCTATCTGAAGCCGTGTAGGCGCTACCGCCACGTTTAGGAGGGGAAATGTACCGGGTGTTGCATAAAAGACACAGGTGCGGGCGGGTTTGCCTACCCGCTCTACCCGGGCCAAGGGCCAAGGCCAAGGCCCGAAGGACCGCAATTTGACGAGTTAGCATTCTTGAAAATTAAAAAAAATTGTTGAAATAGCAGCTTTTGGAACGAATGCCCAAAATAACCCCTAAATATGAATTTGAGCAAAAAATTTTGATGTGTCCTTCGATGACACATTTAGACCAACAATTTCCTAAAGTAGAATGAAAATCGGGAATTTACACTTGGTGGGCTTCCCTTGTCAGTGCTTGATAAAACCAAGAAATTAGTCTCGAATGCAAATTTTAGTCTCAATCTACTCGGTAAAGAAAAACAAAAACCACCGCTTGACCTGTGCTCGGAGCGCATCGTTGTGAAGACGAAGCTGAGGTTGAAGAGGGCCTGGTACACGTAGGCGGTGGAGAGCAGGGCGCACAGGACCACGTGGAAGCGGCCGAGGCGGGCCGTGATGGCTTGGAGTCCGCTTTCCACGTCCATCTCGGCGGCGTAGCCCGAGCCCTAGGCGGCGCCCCAGCTGCCGCGCTGCCGCACTCGACCCCGAGGATGAAACTGT